TATAAGGAGAATGTGTGTGGCTCAATAGGCCACAGAGAGAATCTGTGTTCAGGAAATACAGTTCTGGACCAGAACAGGTACAGAACTGTACAGAAACTGTTGTAAGCTGTAGGGTAGGCTTACAACTGAGTAAATACTTATTTATATATTTTAAAGAAAAAAGGTAATTCAAGGATACTATTCAACACACTGTGTTTTATGTCTCATTTACTAGTATAGCACAATGTATCTAGTATATAAGAGTGCACATATATGTGTATCTAATTAAGTGCCATTCTAATCTCTCTAACCTAACAGGTTATGAGCCTTACAGGCTTGTAAATAGTACTATCAACACAAACAACACTACAAATGCAACCTCTACCTCAGACATTTACCCCCCCTCCTAGTACTAGTACTCTACCTACAAACACAATGCCTCTAACAATAGTACAACCTATGTTAACATTTGAGTCAACAAAGATTGATGACAAACAACTTGTTATGTTCTTTAAAGACATAGAGAAGCTTACAGGCACAAAGAACTATAAGATATAGCAACTATGTATTATGAATACACTAGTAGCAATACTGCTCAGTAACCATCTTACAAACAATCCCCCTAGTACAGATACAGACAGTATACACACAGGGAAAATATTGTATCATTTCATAACAAAGACAATATCAGATACAGTGTACACTAACATTATAATACACAACACAACAAAAGACCTTATACAGGCACTAGCTGGTCAATACAATGTGCAAACCATGTTGACTCATACAGTCAATATATTAGTACTGTTTACAGCTAGAGGACATGTTTTACAGTTTGACAAGACACTAGACCAAATAGAGCAAGTCTATGTACAACTGGTAGCTCACAGCAAAGTACTAGATGATAATACTTACATCTCAGTAATAAATCTTACTACTCTAAGAGAGTACAAGTGGGTTACAACAATGATTGATAGGCAGAACATACATTACAATAGCCTACCTACAGTTACTGTAGCTTAATGTCAGGTGTTCACACTAGCAAAATTAATTCATGAATTACACAATGCATTTACTGAGTAGCAAATGCAGAACCACCAGAACAAATGTAGTACACTAAATAAAACAACAAATAATCATCCTCTATCCTTAGAGCCTACACAAGGTCAAACAAGAGGACAAGGATGTGACAGAGGCAACATAAAGCCTTACAAGACAACAAAATGTTACAACTGTAACAAATACAGACATATGTCCAAAGAGTGCTACAGTCCAGTAACAGACACTACAAAGGAAGCACAAAAGAAACAAACAAACAAAATGACAAATGCATCCACATTGTAACAACTTATAGCTCAAACAATGAGCATCATACTAACAAACTACACAACAATAGAAGAGATCAACAAGATTCTCAATATTGGCTGTGCAAAGTCCACTATAGAATCTACACTATTGGACATAAACATGCACAACAAACAGCCTGATAAGACAATAGACAAATTCCTTAACAACTATAACCTAGATGTATACATTAATACATGTTCTTACAGAACAATGAAACTTACACATTATATTAACATACTCAATTTGGGTGCTAATATCCATACTACATCCTATCTCTTTCAATTAACAAACATACAATATACAAACCCTATACATGTTACAATTGCAAACAAAACAATAATCACACTCAGACAAAGTAGAGTAATGATGATTAAAATACAACAAGATGCAAACAACAAACACAGAACAAATGAAACAAATGTAAGCAGTATCATGCTACATAATGTATACTATCATCCAATTCTAAACTTCACATTGATCAGTGAAGCACTATTATGTGAAGCAGGATATACATTAATTAAATCAAATACTATGTGTAATATTTATTTCCCTGCTAATACAAAGATTGGTGAAATACAAATACAAAACAAACTATATATGATAGTATTACATCATCATTACCAACAGAATGTTAACACAATAACAATTGTTGAACTACACAGACAAATGAGTCATATGAACTTTGAGTACTTATACAAACTCATACACAATCATCCTAAAATTATGCAACAAAAGGTTGCAGATGATAGAAATGCAAAGTGCAATGACTGTATGCATGCAAACATACAATGTAACAATATACCTAAAATACGAATGTCTACATCTTCTAAAACATACAGAGAATGTCTACACATTAATATATAGGGTCCAGCACCTATACAAGCATACAGCAAATACAAATACATTCTTACAATTGTTGATGATGCTACACAATAGGCAGATATGATACCCATGCATCATAAAAGCAATGCATTTACTGAATACATCAAATACACTACAAAACTATTTATACAACACAGTGCAAAAGTAAAAACACTACAAAGTGATAACAATACTGTCTTCCTAAGTAATGACTTTACAGTGTACATAGAAAGTCAAGGAACTATACAACAATTAACAGTACATGATACCCTACAACAAAACAGAGTCACAGAATGTATGCACAAAACAATCTTTAACAGAGTACAAACGTGTCTATTAATGTCTAAACTACCCACAAAATTATGGGTATATACTGTACAATACCAAATGTTCATTCATAATCAAACACCATGTACTGTAATAAATTTTGCAATGCTATATTACAAACAGTTTAACAAACAATACACTATTAATAACATACAAGAATTCAGAGCATATTGTGTCATACAGAACAAAAATACACACAAACTAGAGCCTAGAGGCAAATACACACAATGGTTAGGCAACAATAACAAAAGTAAAGGCCATATAACATGGCACAATAATAAAATAATAGTTGAACAAAACCTACAATTCATAGATGTATGATCATCTAGAATTGAAGGGGAGAATAATAACAGAACAAACAGAACAAATAATAATAATACAAACAGAACAAACAATAATAACAATAACAATAACAAGTTACAACAATCTACTTGTGAACAACAAATAACAAAACGTGCTAGAGGTTTGAACTACAATGATAAAACAAACCTAGCAATATATCTTACAGAATTTAACAAATCACTCAACAAGATATACAACAATCCAACAATGTATTATAATGCTATAACAAGCAAAGCTAAAGAGTATTGGATCAGAGCAATGAATGACAAAATAAATGCACTACAATCATGCAACACATGGGAATACACATACCCACTAACAGACACAAATATAATTGGAATGCAATTTGTCTACAAACTCAAGAGGTTAGCTAACAGCAATATAGACAAATACAAAGTATGACTAGTAGTACAGGGTTATGCCCAGAAAGACAGAATAGATTTCTATTCAGACAATCTATTTGCCCCAGTTACAAAATTGATAACAGTACACTTATTATTAAGCTGGGCAGCATTTAAGGACTATGAAATACATCAAATTGATGTGAAGTCTGCATATCTTTACAGAGAACTAAACAAAGACAAACATATCTATGTGAGACCACCACCAGGTAAATTACTAAATGATATCAAACCTGGTCAAGTGCTAAAGCTAAATAAAGCACTATACAGACTAAAACAAGCAGGACAACAATGGTATAAGATATACTGTACAAAATAGGATTGTAATGAGCAAACTATGACAATACTGTATTCTACAAGAAAAGGCATAACAGAACAATATTAATCACATTCATACACATCAATGATATTACTATAATTGGTGAAAACGTTACCATAATAGGTGCATTCAAAGAAGTGTTAAAACAATATGTTACATTTACAGACAGAAACAAAATACACTAGCTTCTAGGAATAGAAATCTAAAGAAATAGACAACAGAGAACAATCTGCTTACAGTAAAGACACTATATCCAGAGCATAATACAACAATTTAAGCTCAAGAACGAAAAACTGCTACAAACTCCTTTGATGCCTAGGACATACTTAACAAGTATGAATGATACAATTGATGACGAACGATTTATGCAGACAATACCATACATGAGTATGGTAGGATCATTATGCTATGCAGCAGATTGCACTCAGCCAGACATTGCATACATTACAGGCCAATTAGTATGCTATCTACAACAACCAAATATGAGCCACTACAAAGCAGCAAAACATTGCTTCCAGTACCTAAAAGGAACTACAAACTACTGGCTTCATCTTGGAGGCACAAATACATTGACTATACAAGGGTACTGTGATGCTGACAGACAAATGACAGAAGGACACTGATCAATTAACAGATATGTATTCCAGCTGGGAAAGCAAACAATATCTTGGTCAAGCAAACGACAGAACCTGGTACCACTATTAACTTACAAAGCAGAGTTGCAAGTGCTGGCATACACGACTCAAGAGGCCATTTGGCTTAAACAACTTGCTGAGGAAGTACTGCAGACAGAATCAGCACCTATTATGGTCTATTACAACAATCAGGGAGCAATACACACTGTCAAATCTGAGGAGATCACTTTCAACACTTGAACAAAACACCTTGATTTGCAAAAGGACTTCGTCTGCTGTTACATTCAGAACAACTATGTCAACATACATTATGTTCAAACACAGAACCAACTTGCAGACATCCTTACAAAAAGCACTTTATGTCCCTCAAATCAAGCACCTAATAGAACTTATAGGTCTTCAACATTAACAACAGAATATTAGGGCTTGAAGGGGAGTATTTGACACGCTGCATTTTACGTCTCATTTACTAGTATAGCACAATGTATCTAGTATATAAGGGTGCACATATATGTGCATCTAATTAAGTGCCATTCCAATCTCCCCGACCTAACAGATATACACTCAAATTCAATTCAAAGTTCATAAAACTTGGTATTAATGTGCTTAACAGTAGTATCTATAAGCTAGTATTTTTTTGTTTCAGGAAAAAAAGTGTAATAATGGAATAAAACACAAATATGCTGTCTCAAGAGTGGATGACAGTGATTCAGATTATGTAAGTATCACATGAGCGATTGTCGTTTCTGACGCATGCAAGGTGAACCACACATTGCTCTCTCATCCACCATGTCGTCTACAGCAAGTGATAACCATCATCCCTATATTGTCTACGTGCCAGGCAGTAAGGATTCCGTGCCTTATCCCATTTACGTTCCGGAGAACGCATTCGTCGAAACCCTGAGAGAGGCAATTCGAAGAAAGCAGGATTTAGAAGATGACCTACAGGGGCAAAACCCGATCCTCCTCAAAGTACTTTCTCATCCGTCTTCTAGCTGCCATTGTGCTGATAATTGGTGTTCTTCTTTAGTGTGGTAACCTGAAGATGCTCCCACGCCAGTCACTTTATGAAAGTGCTTTGGAGTGGCTTCGCCAACGTACGGGTGATGGGGAAGATGATAAGCTTATGATGCCTGCAATGCGTCTGCACGACTATTTCCCTGACGGACCTACGCCAGAGGATGAAAGAATGATAGACGTTGTTGTCGTGACTAATTCCAGTATGTATTCTGTTCTCTACCCAATACTATATCCAACCGACTTCTCCCTAGTTTGGGGCAGTTTGAATTATACTGCTCTCAGTTCATCTGACTCGCTCAATCGGTTCTGTAAAGAAATCACGTTTTTAGTTCCGCGTGGTCATGGTGAACCGGATTGGCAGGTTGTGGTTAACCTGAATAACTATCTCGGTCAACCGTCGTATCCTCTAATTTGTCGAGAATGTAGTT